TTTGTTTAATAAATAAAATTTAGAAATATTAGATTTTGAACATTTAAATATTTTTTCGAGGAAAATTTTTATTTAAAAAAATTAAATTAAAAAAATTTCTTTTTTATTAGATACTTACAAAATTTTAAAATTTGGAATAATATTTAAAATTAAATAGTAAAATTTTAAAAATTAATAACATGGCTTATTTTTTAATAAATAAAATTTGGAAATTGTAGATTTTTGATAATTTAAAATTTCTTTCGAGGAAAATTTTTATATATAAAAATTAAAAAATTTAAAAAAAAATATTTTTTAAAACTTTTAAATTTGAAACAATTTTAAAAATTAAATAGTAAAGCATTAAAAATTAATAACTTGGCTTTTTGTTTAATAAAAAAATTTTATTTTTGGAAAATTAAATTCTTTTTTGAGGAAAATATTAATTTATATTAAAATAATATAGTTGTTGATATAATAATTATTTTTTAGTTAAATTAATAAAAATTCGACATTTTGCGTTAAAAAATGAAATGAAAAAATGACAATCTGTTTAAATAATATTTTTTATTTATTTCTGAAATTCCCCTTTTAGGGAAATTAAATAGTTAACATTTAAAATTAGAAAATTTAAATTAGTAAATAATAAATAAAAATTGCAATTTTTTTAAGTTTCCTTTTTTATGAATTTTGATTTTTTTTAATCCGAAAACATGCAAAAATGTTTAAGTAAATATAAAAAATATAAATAAAAACAATTCAAAATATTCTTTTTTTATATTTTTTCGGATTGAATTTAGAATTTTTAACGAAATTTGCCTTGAATGAAATATTTTTTTAGACGACAAAATTTAATTGACAGATTTTAGAAATTATATTTATATATATATTATATATTTGGACCTCTAGAGCCAGTTATCTGCCAGAGAAGGTAGAGCCTATTATGTACTCCAAATACCAATTTAGATTTAATTTTGTTGAAAATTATAGACAAAATCCTCAAAATACCGAATATTTTGTGGTAGCGCTATGTGGGATTTTACGAATATGAGGACCTGTATAAATAACAAACTACCCATTGGCAACAAATTAAGTCGTGACTAAAAAATCCAAAACACCCTAAACCTGATGTTATATGAAGGCTATACCAAAACGTAAATCCATTTTCAATCGAGGAATATTTTAAAAATTTTCCAAATTGTATTATTTTAACTTTCTAGAAAAGTACAAATAGTTTAGAAAAATTACAGAAATGACAAATGAGCCTTAAAAATATTAACCCAACCATAAATCAATTTCAAGGGCCAATAGAAATATCCAGAAATACGTTTATGTTTGAGTCAATCCAGAGCTTCTTGTAAAAAGACTCTAGAAAAGTCATTGCATGTAAATGCATTACAATGCGCCTAAAAAATCTATGCTCCGAGAGAGAGAGAGAGCTTTCATTCTCGATGATTTTATGTTGAGAAATTGTTTAAAACCTCAAAAGCTTTTTTATGTTGTGAGTTAAAAGAAGAGCAAGTTGGGGATATTCATGTTATATTTTTTAATAACATTGAAAAAATGTGTAATAAATTTAAAATTTAAAAAATTATTGTTATTTCTTTTGAAAAAAAAATGTTAAAATAAACATTGCTTATGTGAAATATACAAAAGCACTTTAATTATTTTTTTTAATATTTTGTTTAATCTATAAAAAAAATTAGTAGAAATGTTAAAAAATACAGGGTGAGATAAAAAAGACAGCAATAAAGTCAAACACCAGATTTCCAGATCATTTGTGAACTGTGCTTTCTTCTTGGCTGCTCTAAAATATAATGTTTTTTTTTTTTTAAATCTCGGCGTTGAAAATTTTCAAAACATTTCATATTTAAAGTAGATTTGTGTGTGTCTGGTTTTTTTCACCCTCCTAGAGAATTTGTTTACCCTTCAAATTGTAATTTGTATACAACATAACGAATAAATCCGTCCCCAAAAAACAAACACCAAAATTTAAAAAAAAAAAAATAATAATCTCCAAAAAAAAGTTAACAAAAATAAGTGGCAATTGGGAATTTTCATCGAAAAGGAAAACAAAGTGTGGCAGCAGCTGAGTGTTCTAACGGCAGTAGATATGCTGCTGTCTAACAACATCATCGTTGGATTGCTGGCGTTGAACTCACAACAATGATGAGATTGAAAGTGAGAAAAAGAGCATCAAATATTACGAAAAGCTATAACTGAGCAAGAGTCAAAGTGTGTGAGCTTAATAAATAAAAGAGAAGGTGAAAGAGAAAGAGAGAGAGCAAGTCAAGTGCATTTATATTGTTTTTTTTTTTATTGAAATGGAGATAAATCTAAATTACATTTTTGTAAAGACTTTAATAAACAAAAAATTATAAAAAAATTAAGAAATATTTAACAAAACTATACAAAACTTAAAAATAAAACGAAAAAGACTTCATACATATTTAACATGGAAATACCAATATAATGCCTTATATTCATTGTATACAGACTTCTTAAATATAAGAATATATTAATATTTTATAAAAAAATAAAAAAAATCGACAAAATATAAAAATAATATTAAAACACAAAGAAAAAAATACAAACAAAAAATATTAAAACAATCAAAAAAAAAAACTCTAATTAAAAAATGAACTTCAAAATTTCAAAGTAAAAAATTAAAAAAAAAAACACAAAAATATAAAATAAAAAATCATTTTTTGTGAATAAAAAAATCAAATAAAAATTTCAAAATCGTCGGTGAATCGCAATTAAAACAAATAAAAACAAATGGTGAGAACATCACAAAAAATTATGGGACATTTTAAAAACAACTTCAGTGATTTTAACGGACTGATGAACTGATGCATTAAAAAATATAAAATCAAAGATCTGAACCTCTTGAAGTTAAAATAAAGTTTAGCCTCTCCTGAAACGCAACTGGCATCTAGAAATTTCCCAGCTAAAAAATTATTTTGTGACTCAAAATTAAAAAAATAAAAACCAAAACGTCTACGAAATTGAAATGTAAAACAATTACAAAATACATCGCATCAAAAATAATACAAAAATTACCGAAAAACTGCGGTAATCATATTTAAGATATTTTATATAAAATATGTGCAGAATTTTTCAAAGATATTTGAATAAATAATTTCAATAAATTTAAAGTGCAATTGTCGTCAAACACCAAAGTTAACCAGAAATGAATTGAAATACGATTTAAAAAAAAAATATTAACTCAAAATGTATTCAAAAAACAGCGATTTTTAAAAATTGAATACAAAATGATTTGAAATAATTACAAAAGTGTTATACAAAATTAAAAACTCATCAAAAATAGAAAAAAGGCCATTCAATGGATATGAAAGTTTCTCAACATGTTGCAGAGCAATGAGGGAAGCTCCCAACATCGGTGTTAGCACAACCAGAACACCAAAAATATATATATAAAAAAAAAAACTATAAAAAACACTGATGAACATAGAACTGAAAGTTATTTGTAAGACAAAAGTGTTATACAAAAGGAAAAAACTTCACAAAAATACAAATAAAGACAGTTCAATGGATACAAATGTCTCTCAACATGTTGCAGAGCTATGAGGGAAGCTCCCAACATCGATGGTAGCACAAAAACGCCAAAAATATATATAAAAACTATAAAAATAACACGGATGAATTAAAAATAATTTGAAACACCTATCGTTAAAAGTCTGTCAACATGTTGCAAAGCAATAACTGAGGATCTCAAAAAAAAAAAAAAAAAAAAACAATCAAAAATATAAAATTTTACTAAAAATAAACATTTCGAAACAACACTTAAGAGAACTTTGAAATATTTGCTGATCTATATTGAAAAAAAATAATAATACCCCAACAAATTAGAAAAAAACGGTAACAAACATTTCTCAGCAACATGTTGCCCAATGACTAATTGGTTCCAGAAATATTAAAAATATTCAAAGAAAATCATGAAATATTTTTTAAAACTTAACAAAGCGACGCTTTAAAAAGTGTTCTTATTGGGAAAAAGTATTGAAAACCGTCAAACTTTGAGTGAGACACCTTAGCAACATGTTGCCCAAAAAAACAAGGAAACCCTCAATCACAACAAATGACAAAATTTTGAGGCATTAACGAAAAAGGACTTTTCAGTAAAAATACAATGATATTTTTGAATTATATTACATCTGTTTTGAAATCATTGACATGTTGCTAAAGATTTTGAAAATTTTGCAAAGCAACAAAAAAGTGCAAAAATTAATAGTTTTTGTTTAAGAATGGACAAATATATAACGCAAAAAATAATTACTCACTGTAAACAACGCAAGACTTAATTAGCAATTAAAAGTACTGCAAAAATATGCCTTTTTTATAAAAAAAAATCATAAACATAAAATATGCAAACATTCATGAGAATAAAAGACTGTTAACGAAAAAGAAGCAAACAATTATTATTTTACAGTTTCATAAAACAATAAAAAAAATATTCCACAAAAATTGAGATTTTCTTTAGGAACACCAATAAAAATTGCCACCAGCAACATGTTGCCAGGTTTGCAATATACACAGCAAAATACAAATAAACTAAAAAAGTTTAAAGTTTTATCGGAAATATTAAAAGGGACTCGCAAAAACTATAAAGTGCATAAAAAATAATAACAAAACGTATTAATAAAATAATAATAAAAAAAAAAACAGAAAAACATGTTTCAGCAACATTTCATGGCAACATGGTTTCACATGGCTTTTGGAAACATTTTCATATGCTTAAATAAAACAAATAAGAGAAAATTAAAATAAGATAAGTGAAATATTGAAGAGTCATAAAAACTTGAAAATTTTCAAAGTAAAAAAAATAAAAATTATTTTTCAAAAAAAAAAAAAAAAAAATCATAAATTTGTTGACGAGTCTTAAAAATTTTTTTTCTCGTGATGACAAGCAACATGTTGCCAGCAACATAACCTCCCACACTTTCTCATATAAAAACAATTTCAACAAGAGACTTTTAAGAAAATTCCCCCCTTTCCAAATGAGTGTGGAACAGCATCATCAGCAACAAAAGCAGCAGCAGCAACAACAGCAATTGACGGCTATTGAATTAACCAAACCCAATAATAACAATAACAACACCAACAACATTTCAGCAAACGCCAATTCCAACAGCAACAATGGCAATGGCAATAATATCCATTGCAAAACAAATAATGATCTGCTAAAACACAATAATGATGTTGTTAATTTGCACAAAGCCAAAGAAGAGCTATTGGAAAAATCCACCTCTACATCGGCTGGCGGCATACCAAATAACAAACAAAATGGTCAACATTATAATGCGGAGACCAATGGTGGGGAGCACCTAAAAGTTGCCAATGACAAAAGAGAAAAATCCCTGCTCGACGAAGCGAATACCATCATTGACAGCCATGAGGAGAAAAGTGAAAATGAAATTTCCCAACAGCAAAAACATGGAGAAAATGAAAACAACGAGGCTGGCGATGAGGATGATGAAGATGATGAGCCTAGCTTAAATACGGCCTGTATTATAAAATCTCCATTAAACAAAACCCTACTCAAGAAATGCACCCCCAATGGTAATGGTAATTTAAGTCCCTTAGCCTTGAACACCAGTGCCAGCAGCCACACCTGTTGCTGTGACCATGAGGAGGAAACCTCATCTCCCAATGTCCATGAAAGCTCAACACTTGAAGATTTAAGTTCTACAGCGGCCAGTGGTGGCGGCCATGACAAGCCACCGGCGCACTTTGATCCTTTTACCAAAATTCCCATACCCACGACATCATCAATGCCAACAACAACCACCACCACCAACAACACATCGGCCACTCCTTCGAATGCAAATCAAACCAATATTAAGTGTACAAAATGCAATAACAACAACAACATACATTACAACAACTACAATTGTTATTATCGCAAGAAAGCGGCACGTTTGAAACCATCAATATGTCGTAAGAATTGTTGTTTTTGCTAAACCCTACTCACCTTCTATTTTTCTCTCCCCCTTCCCCATAAAAATTTTTTTAGGTTTCCAAAACCACGCAATTTACCCATTTAAAGTGCCAAAAATATAGAAAATTTCTTTAAGAAATAATAAAACCAAAAAAAAAAAACTTTTCCAAAAAATAAAAAAAAAACAATGATGTTCAAAACAATTGGCTTTTAATCGAGAACAAAAGAAAACACCACCCTACCCCGGAACAACCCTTTACTCCAACTTACAACAAGAACAACAACAAAAAAACTACCAATGTATTATCCCAACATCCAACTACAACCCCTACCAACAACATCCAGAACAACAACCTCCAATTGGCGTTCCAGCTTGTTTTGGTATAGATTTTGAATGCAAAAATCCCAAACAAAATTTTTTATTTCAAAATTCTTTTCCAATCAATCAATCAACCAACAACACTTACATACACCCACCCAACCACCCAAAATTCAATCATCAAAATTATGACTTCAATAGGTAAATTGTGTAGAAATTTTTTTTTTGAATTATTTTCTGAATTCTCCATTTGCACATAAAGCCATATTTATTTACATTAATTTATTATTAACAATCATTCATAACATCATTAGGTTTAAGATTATTATATGCAACATTAAATGTATTTAATTAAAATATATACTAATTATAAATAAAGTGAGCAATTAGTATCATCAACGCCATCTACATACAAAAAGAGAAACAAGTCAAGTCATCAATTTATCGAAGCTACAGAACATTATATATTTTTATATATTAAATATGTTCCTTGCAGTTTTTTTTCTATTTATTTTGAAAAAAAAATCAAAAAACTTTATTAATAAATAAAAAAAAAACATATTTTTTACGCCAGCGCCATCTATAACCCAAAAGTGATTTTCTCTTCAAAAGAGAAACAAAACAGACATTATGTCTTTCTAGAAAGACCAGCTGGTTATTTTTCCTGGAAGAATTGTCCAGCAATTTTTTTCTCTCAGAGAGCAAGTTACATTTATGCTCTTTTATAAGAAAAAAGTAAATACGCAGGGTATATATGTGGAAACCTGCAAGCAATCAGCTGATTTGTTCAAACAAAAAGATAACAAGTTCAAAACCAGAAAGTTCGGCCGGGCTGAACTTTGAATACCCTCCACCATTTAGAATAAATAAATTAATTAAAAAAAAGAAGTAAATAAATCATATAATCCGTTAAAATTCCATTAAAATCGTCACAAGTAAACCGGGACGGATTTGGCAATTTTCAAAAACAATAAAATCCGTTAAAATTGTATGTTAAAATCTTAAAAAATACCAAATGTAGCCGTCATACTAGGGTCTAAACGACGACGTGGACCTGCATAGGCAACTTTTGTCATAAGCCATTACAATAATCAAATGCGAAGCTTGATTAAACAAGTTAAAAAGCAGTAAGTTCCGGGCCGAACTTTTAATACCCTCCACCATTTGCAACGAATTTGGAAATTTTTAAAAAATAAAATCCTTAAAAAATTCTGCTAAAATTTAAAAAAAAAATACCACATCTCAAACAATTTCGGTGGGTATTGTACCTAAAATCGTCAAAATACCGAATATAGGGAGGTACTGATATATGGGGCCCATACGAAGACCTGGACCCGCACAGACAATTTTCTGTCACAGACTGTAATTCCCATAATGAACTTCAAATACCAATTTTGAAACATTTCCGGTGAATAATGTCGCTAACATCATCAAAATACCGAATATAGGGAGGTACCGTTATATGGGGGCTATATGAAGACGTGGACATGCACCGACAATTTTCTGTAATGGGTTGTAGTATTCATTACGAACATTAAATACCAAATTTGAAACGATTCCGGTGAATAATTTCGCTTAATCTCATAAAAATACCGAATATTGGGAGCTACCGTTATATGGGGGCTATACGAAGACGTGGACCGGCACAGACAATTTTCTGTCTTAGGCTGTAGTATCAATTTCGAACTTCAAATACCAAATTCCGGTGAATAATGTCGCCAAAACCAACATAGTACCGAATATCGGGAGGTACCGTTATATGGGGGCTATACGAAGACGTGGACCTACATGACTCATTTTCAATACCAAAAGTCCTGCAAACATTATATACATTTGAGTAAAATTGTATCAACCTACTTCAATTCTTTCGGTAGCTAGAGTGATTTCCACAGACGCACGGACGCAACATGTGCAGGGTGTGAAAAAACTGCAACAAAGTCAAACGCCGTAATTTTGACATTTCTTTTTAAATTTTATTGAATAAAATAAAAAAAATGTCGTAAATATTATCAAATTTTAGAATTAGTTTAGATTTGATCGAATTTGTCACCTTTGGCACGAATTATGGCCTTTAAACGGCCAATGAAAGCGTCACACGCTGCCTGAATGTAGCTTTGCGGTATTTTGGCCCATTCCCGGCGAAGCACTTGCTTGAGGTAATCGACACTTTGGTATTTTTTAGTGCCAACCTTGCTTTCCAAAATACTCCAGACACAATAGTCCAACGGATTGGTATCCAGAGATTTTTGTGGCCATTGTGCGCTGGAAATGAAGAGCGGAACCTTAATTTGTAACCAATCTTGGGTGTCCCATGCTGAGTGCGATGGTGCTGAGTCCTGTTGGAATATCCAAGGTCTGCGGCCAAAATGTTTGCATGCCCAAGGCTTTAATACACCCTCCAAAATATTTTCGCGATAATATTCGGCATTTATTCTGATGCCACGGTCGATTAATACGAGCGGAGAGCTTGAGTTCTGGTAGCCAACCGAAGTTTCACATTTTCAGCTGACCTCTTTGGCAAAAAAACAGGTCGGCGGAGCCGAACTTTTAATACCCTCCACCATTTGCAAGAAACTTGAAAAATGTCAACAAATTCCGAAAAATATCATTCAAGTGATGATTTTTATACGGGGGCTAAACGAAGAGGTGGACCTGCATAAGTTTTTTTTTCTTTTTGTCATAGGCTGTAGTACCCAATAAGATCTTGAAATACGAAATTTTAAATAATTCCGGGGATTTATTGCCGCATGAAATAAAGAGTGACATGTGATTGCAACATGAAACTGAACTCTCACCCCTTTTGGATGCAAAAAATCTGTTATTGTCTGACTTTCAAATTTTTATGAAACCCGCAATACTTTTGAGCTTTTAATAAAGAATCCAATAATTCTAGACTTTAGTAATATTCTTGTTATGCATCTGTAGATGAATCTGAATAAAAGTTTGCAGTATTCGAGGCTACCATTGTTTCAAACCCACAACGGTGTCGTAATCTACCTGGAACATTTATTTAAATATTTTTTCCATAAATTCTTTATTATTGAGTTTTTCGGATTTTTAAAGTGTTTTAAATTATCTATTTTTAAACATGGAATATTTAATTTTCTTATTTTGGTCATAATTTCTTCATTATTGAGTTATTCACAGTTTTAATGTATCACAGCAGGCAATGCTATATTCCTTGGGCACCAACTAGAAGAATTCCCTTCCCTATATCCTTGGGCACCAACTAGAAGAATACCCTTCCCTATCTCATAGAAACATATTAAAGTTTTCGTTTTTTTTTTATTTGAATTTTCCCTCTGTAACAAGAGTTATAAATCTTGCTGACATATCTCCTCATGAACACAAAGAACCAGCTGATTCAAAATCAAAGGCCTGACATTTTATAAACATTAACACAAAAAACACCCCCACCCCTGTCCCAACAAAAATCAAAAAACTCGTTTCAAAAAATAACAGAAAATTGTAGGCTAGCCAGTCAAATCTATGGCCGAGTTTTTTCTTCCATTTTTTTAAAAATCAACAACCCAAAAATGCCGGCTACACAAATGCCCAGCAACACACACACACACGCACGTAACCCCCCATATCTACTAAGTTTGTTGTTTGTTACAACAACACCAAAGACACATTGTTTTAACAAATGTAAATGCGTGTGCATACAATCCAAAGCTCACGTACAACAGATGACGAAAAGAGAGAGAGCACAACAATCCTCTCCTCTCATTTGATCGTGGGGTTCTTGCCTTCTCAAACTCAGTGGAGACAGACAAATAAAAACAATTATTTATTTTTTTTTCTTTTATTTCGTTCATATATTTTATTTGTGATGGTTTTCGATATGACTGATTGACTTTCGGTGCGTGCGTGAGTAAGTGAGTTTGTACACCATAACGACAACCAAACATACACACACAGAAAAAGCCAGCGAAAAAAAAAACGATCCAACAAAACTATTTGACCCATTTTCATTATCAAACATAAGATTAATTCTAAACAATAAAAAAAATTGAAACAATAACAACGATGGAGCAGCAGCGGCGAAAAGAACAACAAACAGCCAGTTTATTGCTACAACAACAATAACAGCACTGACTGCTGCAGGCTGACTATGAGTTTTGCTCCCCAATGACTGCCCACACATACACACACACACTTACTCATTGCTACAACAGCAGCAAAGAAGGCATTTGTTCTGCCTTGTTGACTAGCTAGCTGACTTGCTGGGCTTACGGGCGCATAACACTGAGTGCGTCAAAAGTAAGGCAAATAGTCAAACGGCTACATGTTTTAATATCTAAGCAGAGTTCTTGATAATGTGCTGATCATTTCCATTATCACAGTACCAATAAATGAGATGGTGTTAGTAATCCCCCACCATCCACCTATTCAACGGGGAAACGCACAAAGAGTGCGTGACTTTAAGCTACGTTTGTTTTTCTTTTCTATTTACATTAGACAAATGCATTTCTCTTTTCTTCTCTTTCTGTTTTTCCCCTCCTCTTTCTTTCTTGACAAGATAAGCCCGTCCATGAAGTTCATAAAGTTATGGTTTCATAAATGAGTTTTATTATTTTTGTTAGTGTTTGTGTTGGGTCATAAAAGTGGCGGTTTAGTGGGAAAAAGATTCGAAAGTAAAGAGGTACTCATCACTGCATTGCATAATGCATTATACTTCATGAGGGCGAGGGCTAAAGGTATTAATTTTAATTAACGTTAGGCTTGTTACTTGGTCGATGATAAGCCCTTTTACAGGGTTCAATGTACGCTTTTACAAAATACTCCGTTGTAAATCATGAGCATATATAGAGGTAAAAACTTGCCATGTTATCAATTTTGAGGTTATAAAAATACACCAGTAAGGAAATGTCAAAAGTCGGGCGGAAGCTATAGCTATATTTGAACCGATTTTCATTAAATTAGAAGTACTTGTTTCTAGGAAGAGTTCAGTCGGAATTTCCAAGATTTAGTTCATTTGGGCTGATATTAGCCATTTAGTGCACAATAAACCTGATATCAAATAAAGATACTTTTATATGGGAGCTATATCCAAATCTGATCCGATCTCAACAAAATTTAACAGAGGTATTTCTGGGGTAAAAACTCGACATGAGGTAAAAACTCGACATGCCATCAATTTATGGTTATAAAAGTAAACCAGTAAGGAAAGGTCAAAAGACGGGCGGCAGCTATAGCTG